AAAAAAACAATTTTATATATATATATATATTTATTTATTATTTTTTTTAAACTATGGAAGCCCATTTTTGTCATGGGGGAAAAAAATCATATATCCTGTGGCAGAAACAAGCTTCCATAAAACACCAATGTCAGATACGTTAATTTGCTTGAACACACCATTAGTTCATAAGTAGTTCGCTATTGTAATTCAGCTATTGAACATCTGACTCCCACACATGGTTTTAACAAAAGCATAAAGCATTGCTTACAAACCTGAGTTCATGTTAGATCAGACTTGAAAGGTTTATATGTTTTTGCTAAAAACAATTTCGGTATGGAGGTGGCAGTTTTACTTCCATCTAGGGGTGTGCGATATGACGATTTTTGATCGTGGACGATAAAAATGTCTCCACGATCTGCTTTTGAAGAAATATCGTAGTATCGTGCTACAGCACACATTCTATCAACCGCAGTTCTGGCGCCTCCGTCTTAATATACTGTACAATGCCACATACATTCACATCAGTGTTAACTCAGCGGTAGAGTTCCTCTCACAGGACACTGCACTTATTCGCAGTCACAAAAGTACATTATTTGCATGTGCTTTAAAGCCTTACTGGTTAAACGTTTCATTCACGTGCTGTTCTGACATGCACTTTTTCTGAGCGCCTACACCCGAATTCTATCCTTTGCGCTAATACTGTCAAAACACACAAGGTTTACATATAGACTCAGTTGGTTATGTCTAATATGAAAGTAAACAGTTGAGAGAAAAACGGATACGTTCCTGTATATTAAATGTGTGCAGGTCTTAAAGGAACAGTACTGAACATGCTGCCGACTGTCAGTAAAGGGATAGTTCACCCAAAAACTTAATTTCTGTCGTTATTTACTCACTCACATGTTGTCCCAAACTTGTATTAATTTATTTCTTGTGCTGAACACAAAAGAAGATATTCTGAAGAATGTGGGTAACCAAACAGTTGCTGGTCCACATTGAATTTGATAGTAGGAAAAAAATCCTATTTGGTTTTCCACGTTACTCAAAATAGCATTTATGTTCAACAGAAGAAATAAACTCATTCAGGTTTAAAACAACGTTTGAGTGAGTAAATGATGGTATAAAGATAAAACACTATGACAGAATTGACAGACAGATGAGTTTTTTTTTTTTTTTTGGGGGAACTATTCCTTTAACGTTAATAAAACAACAAAACGCAAAGAGAAAAATCACTACTCTTGACTGAAGAACTACTACTATCACTACTCTTTAATACAGCTGCTTTAGGAATCAATCAATATAGTGTTTTATTTTTATATTTGTTCATTCAATTTCTTGAATGCTCCTGCTAAATACACCTATTGTACCTGAAAATAAAACACTGTTTGTTTTATTTGTATATTATGTGTAGTTGTAATGTGTATTTTTGTTCTTATTTTTTAATAAAAAAGATAAAATAATGACAGATTTTTATCTTCGCCCACTTTGGCCTAAATATCTTCCATTCTTTTTTTTATTTTGTTACCTTGAAAGGCTTTGTCTTTATAATAGGGAAATTAGTTTGGCTGTAATGCTCAGACATCTTGCAAAATAGTAAAACCAACATGACAAAGAATTGTGATAAAATCGTGATATTTCTAAAAAAATATGATATTTTTAAAAACCGTGATATGATATTTTTCCATATCGCCCACCCCTACTTCCATCTCCTTTTGAGCTCTATAAGAGTCATTTCAAAATACTCTAAATGCTTTAAAAGAGGATTGCTCAGAAGTGTGTTTGCTACTAACCATCAGATCATTCATCTAATCCACTCAAGTGCAGCAACACAATTCTAAACCAAATCTTCAGGCCTTTGAATACGGTTTCAGCTGAACATTATTTATATGCAGTCCCATGGTCCTTTTGTTATTGTTTGTGAGCAGCAGTATGAATCTGTGTGTGGTTTTACACATATGTTTGGTTTCTGGTGTTGCAGTGCATGACTCTGAGCCATGAATTCACCGTCTCACTCGAGCCTGCCCATACGCTTCTTTAGGAAATGCTTTCTGCATGTCTGTGTGTGTGTGTGTGTTTGGGTCATGAGTGGGTGGGTGTTTAGTTTTATTGATATTTTGAGTTAGTTTAAATTTTTGTTACATTTTTTTTTTTTTTGTTCAAGATTTATTTTGGGCATTTTCGCTTTTATTTTGATAGGACAGTGTAGCGCGAATTCAGGACGCCCAGAGCGCAATGGCCGTACACGTCATTCCATTTTCATTGTAATTTTATTTAATTTCATTTTTTTTTTATTAAATAATTATAATTTTAAATAAATTTAAAATTTCTTAATTGTTTTTAATTTTAATAAAAGTTTTAGTAATTTGTTTTCATCATCTTTAATCATGTGTATATAGTTTTTAAAAATTCTTATTTTCATTTTAGTCATTGTAGTACTTCAAGTTAAACTAAATGAAAGTGAGAAGTATTTATATTTTATATATTTTATATATATTTTAAGTTTATTAGGAGCAGTTGTTGTTACTGTTAGGCCTAGAGACTTAATTTAAATGCCTCTGATCTGCACTAAACTACATTGCGATAGTCCTGATATATATTATTTATTTTTGTTATTTTTGTTTTTATTAATCTTGCTCGTACAGCTCTTTGGTCAGCAATTGCTGTTTTTAAATGTGCTTTAGAAATTAATAAGCTAAACAAAATTGAGTAATACATATGACACAGTTATTAAAATTACTCTGTTGCATGTTAATTAATTCCATTTTGTTTTATTTAGTGGTTGTTTTTATCCAAAGTGATATTTTTCTAAATATGTATTTTTTTAATGTGTTTTTTTTTTTTTTTTTTTTTTTTTTTTATATGAAACGTGCACAGATTAATTGTTCAGGATAAGCTCAATAATATGTGTTCAGAAAATAGATGAATAGGTGAATTTTAATTTCACGTTAACTTTAAGCCCTTGTGTGTGTGTGTGTGTTTAAGAGTGAGAGGAAGGTCTTCTGCTTGTATGCATTGGTTCTGGCTTAAATCATTAGTGAGCGTGTAGGATTATGTTTTGTGTGTGGTCAGTAATTGTGGTGGGGTTGTGCACTGCTCACCGGCTCTACTGTTACAGGATGCTCCTCTCTCTGACTGTACGGACTCTATTGATGGCATTGACCCTTCAGAGAGCTTTAGTCCCTCTAGGTCTATTCGAAAGGTACATCCTGCGATAATACTGTAATGTCTGAAACATAAAACCACACAGTTTCAATACTGTATCAGACAATAACATTCAGGGCCTTTTGTTAAAAAGATGAGTCGTCAGTGCTGAATTCAAAACTCTCATTAGCTTTCTATTGATCTTAATCATAGCAGATTAATCTACCAAAAAAGACAAGGCAGTGAGAAACTGAAAGCACATTTTATCAGATGTACTTTCAATTTTTCCCTCACAGTCTGTTTTCATTTGTGTTTTAATAATTGTACTTTGACTAAGGTCTATGCTGGGATTTTGAGTTTTTACTAAAATAACAATGAATAACAAGGCTTTTATAATAAATTGAATACAGATTTAAGTGGGATGTATATATAAATGAAGCATCAAGTTCATCCTAAACTCTCTTATTGGATGACATTTATATGTGAAGTGTCCCACTTGTATTCACCCCATTTTAACATTTTGATACCACCTTTTGTCGTAGGTTTGTTGTAAATTAAATTTTGTTGACTAAACATTCATTTTCAGCATGATAACAGTGCAAAAACAGTTTTTTTCCCCTCCTTTTTTGTCCTGCAGGGGGAGCTAGTGACCGCGTCTAAAGCTATCATTGAGAAGGAGTACCAACCACGCGTCATCGTCAGTAAAACTGGACCAAACCCCTTCAACAAGCTCACAGACCAGGAGCTGGATGAGTATCGCAGGGAAGTGGAGCTCAAGCAGAAGGGCCCAGAAGGTAAGAACTCAAATAATGTAGAATCAACACGTTTCTCCTCGCAGAAACTGATACAGGTGACAAAAACATCTTGTGATGCTGCTTTCAAGTCAGCCTGACAAGGTTCTACATATTTACATGTTTCTTTTTTTTTTTTTTTTACATATTCTCATTTACATATGAGTTCGGAAATCAGAAGTAGAAACTAACTGAAAAATTATTTTTGTCTGATTTTCAAGTACTAGATATTCACGGCTGTTCGAGAAATATATATATATTGTTTCTTCTGCTCACCAAGGCTGCATTTGTTAGATGTAAAAATACAGTAAAACAGTAATATTGTGAAGTATTTGTATGTTTTCCATGGGAATATATGTTAATGTAATTTATTGCTGTGATTTTCAGCATCATTACTCCAGTCTTCAGTGTCACATGATCCTTCAGAAATCTGATTTGCTGCTCAAGAAACATTTCTGATCATTATCAATGTTGAAAACAGTTGTGCTGCCTAATATATTTGTGGAAACAGTGATACATTTTATTTTTCAGGATTCTTTGATAAAGTTCAAAAGAACAGCTTTTGAAATAGTAATCTTTTGTAACATTATAAATGTCTTAGCAATCACTTTTGATCATTCTAATGCATCCTTGCTGAGAAAAAGACTTAACCTCAAAACTTAATAACCTCAAACTTTAGCACAGCAATGTGTGTATATATAATATATTTGATATGTTTTTTGGAATTATTTGAGCAATAGTATGAGCACAAGTAATTTCAGCCAAACAAACTCATCGGGTGCACAAAGATTTGTGTAATGTTTTCGATTTATTGCACGTGAATCCTGTGCAACCCAACAGTGCCCACCGCAGGTCAGGAGAGAAACTGTTGTATTGCATCTAGCACAGGTCGAGGAGTCGTCCTCGGCCCCCGAAGAAGCCCAGACTCCAGATGTCACATCCACGCAGGAAAATGAGGATCCGCAGGCCACCGCGGCCCCTCCACCCTCCATAATCGAATCGGGCCACGCGTCGGGTCAGGACAGTCCGGCAGATGCTCCAGGATCCCCTCATAAGGAGTTTCACTCCGCTGTGCTGAAAGCTCTGGGCTGTGACGCGGAGTCTGAGCGTGACGGGCCGTCTGCAGGTATCTCCTGCCATCTGCCTGAGGAAGGCTGCTCTTTTTGGGTTTATTCTGACTTTGCTGGGCTCTTTTTCTTTCTTCCTGTCTCTCGCTGTCCCTGGTTCCAAACCTTGGTGATCCAACATGCCTGTCTGCACCCATCCCACACTTCTCCTGGCAAACGTCCCGTACCAAAACACCCTGCTCTGGATCTGTAAACAAAGACTGTGTAAGCCTCGTCCGCTCTTGCAATCTTAATCCTGGACTGCGGGCTCTTCGCTGTCCTCTGAAGTGGGATTTGCTGCTCTTCTTGTTGGGGTTTATTTCTATATTCTTGTATTAATGAACCTCACTGTGGTGTCTCTAATGGACGTCTCTGAGTCTGACGTGTGAGATCTGACAAACGTTGTTTCCTGGTTCTCCAGAGGTTTTCCTTTTTTACTTTATAATGCAGATGAATGTTGTTTATTATATGATATAATTATATAATATGCTGTTATAATATATAGTGATTTGTAAACTGATACAATGCTATACTACTGATACTGTAGTTTTTAGTATCATTTTAGTATCATTAATAATATACTACTGTAGTTTTTTTTAATTAGTGTTAATTTTTATATTATTTTTAATTTGTTACATTTTTAGTATATTTTTTTAAAGGATTATTAATATACCATTATTATGTTTTTAATTAATATTTTGAATCTGGTTATTTTTATATTCATTTTTTTTTCATTTTATTTAACATTTTTGTTGTCTTTTTTTGTGTGTGTGTTTTTAGTATAATTTAATATACTATTTTTATTAATATAAAATATTTATTAATTTATAAAATAAATGTTTTTGTTTTTTTATTGTTTTTTTATTTTACTTGGCTCAATTTTACCATATTTACATTAGGATGCACAATATTATAAGAACGTTATCGGAATTGACCGGAATTGAAATGTAAACATCGGCAATGGCCCAACATGAAACATAATGCTGATATGCCGTGCCGATAAGTTCTGCTAGCGATAAGATCTCTGCACAGGAGAGACTTGATGTTGTTTCCAAACAAAAGGAAATATATCCGGTATCGGCATCGGCTATTGTCTAAAATAAGTTTAAAAAATATCGGTATATCAGATATCGGCAAAATCCAATATTGTGCATCCTTTATATGCATTTCACTGATTTTTTTTGTTTTCCATCAATCAGTGTAAAAAGTGCACTGATTCCATGTGGACGTGGGTATCATCCATAGTTTATCATTTACAGACTGGACTGTAATGCTGCTTGTGTTCTCTCTAGGTCAGACACCGGAGGTTGAAGAGGGGAAAGTTCCCAGCGCCTCCTGCACTCCTCCCAGCTCACCTTTGCGTGTGGAGGAAGGTACGTCTATCCGATCAGACTGCGTCTCTCTGAGCATGAGCCGGTTCTAGGCGGTTTATGTCTGCAACATAATGCCTGATGTGTGTCTTTGTTTGTTAATTAACATTTTTAGACATTTATTGCTGTTCGTAATAACAGACCAAAGGGCATCATTAATGTTTTGTTTTTGTTCCCCTCCCCCATAATTATAAAATAGTCTGGCCTGACACTTTTATTGTGTTTTTGTACAGTTAGTGCAGTGCAGAACTTCAGACAACTGATTTGAATCCATTTTAATGGAAGATTAGTGAAAACATTTTTTTTTTTTTTATTATTACAATTAAAAGTATTAATAATAATATTTTGTTTTTATTTTACCCCTTAATTTTTTTTTTTTAGGAAGCTTTTTTTTTTTTGTTTTATCTTCATTTTACAATTTTTTTTTATTTATTTACCCTCTTGGTCTTTATTACTATGGATTACACCCTTCTTATTAAAACAGGAGCTGTTATATTGAGATTATAAAATAAACAATGCTTTATAGGTAAGGATGCACCAACCAAATTTCACCTTTTTTGACATTGATACCAATAATGGAGAATTATTTTAATGAAATTAATTATTATTAGTAGTAGTAGTATAATAAAATAATATATGAACAATAGGCCATTATTATAAATCTTGACTATATGCCTTTTTATAACAAATAGAACAAAAAGTAAAATAAAATGTTTAAATAAACATTTTTAAAAAACTTAGTTTTTTTGTAAACTTGTTTTTTTTCCTGACAAATCTGACATTCATTCTGCTTGTTTATTCAATACTGATAAAGTCACTAGTAAATCATGCAACTGTAGTCAATCTGTAGTATTTTAAGTCCTCTAAAAGTTAAATTTTTTATTAAATTCAGGTGTAATCCGATCTAAGAAATGTCTTCTAAATCGCCTGTCTTAAATGTTCTCATTCACCCTTCATGCTCATTTCTCTGGGGTCTTTAAGAATGGCTTGGCAACCATTCTTTACTTCCGGTGGTCTGTGTGTCTCTTTACGGTTTCTGTTCATTTCTTTTTAATTTAACCCCGGTGGCTGTGATTTGATCTGCATAGACATTCTCTCTCTACTTGTGCTTTCTCTTCTTCGTGGCTGCGTCACAATCAGGAGATGGAAATGCAAAAGAGTACCTGTTACCATAGTAAGTACCTCACCCAAGTTTGTTTTCCCGCTGCATGGCTTCACTCAGCTCACTCCTCTGCTATCTAACTCTCATCTTCTGTCCTCGCTTTCCTCTGAGATTCATTTGTTGTGAGGGATGATCTGCACCGGAGTCATACGGCCCATTACCGCAGTAAAATGGGTTGCAAACGGCGTTTCAAATAATGTGAAACTGCATTTGTAACTCATTTTAACTTCTGTAATGTGACTGATTTTATCAGGATTGAATTGGATGTAAACCTGTTGATATTATTGATTCATTTTTCTTTTCCGTACTGTCACAACAATTTTTTTGTATGAGCTGGAAGTTGTTAAATTTAATGTAAAATTTTAATAAAGCACCTATTTTTTTCCCCCTATAAAATAACATTTTATCTTGTGTAATGTGACTGATTTTTATCCATCAGGATTTGATTGGATGTAAACCTGTTAAACTATAACATTACTGCTATATTACTTTTCCATGCTGTGAAAACTATTTTTTTTACATTTCATAGGAGGAGGAAGTTAATGAAATTGAATTAAAATTTATAATAAAAAGCAAGCAATTGTTTTCCCTAAAATAACATTATCCTTCTAAAATGTAACTAAAATGTAACTCAAGATTTGATTGGATGTGAACCTTTTATACTATGACATTATTGGTTAATTTTACTTTTCTATACTTTTTTTTTTACTCTGACAAAAACATTTTCATAGGAGGAGGAAGTTAATACAATTTAATAAAGAAATTAATAAAAACCAATACATTTTTCCACATTTAATTTCTATAATGTGACCAATTTCATCAGGATTTGTTTGGATTAGTTAGACCTGTTAGTCTATGACATTATTATTTTACTTTTCCATCTTGTTTAGTTCATAAGAGGAAGTTATTAAATTTGAATAAAAAAACTTGGCAAAACTTGAAGCCTTACGTCTAATGCATTATAAATGTATTTATATTGTATGTTATAACGCATTATATCGTTTCATAAATAATTGTAATCAAAGTTAAAATGCATTTTAAAATGTGCAGATTCCTTGTATCTGAAATTGATTGGTTGTCATGAGTTTTAGTACATTATACTAAAGTTGTAACAATGAATAGATGCGTATTATAATGCTATTCTGTCATAATCATGCAGTGCATTATAAGGTGCGTTACAAGGCTTAACTAATGCATTAAAATACTTATATATATATATATAAAGGCTTCGAGTAAAGTGTTACCAAACTTTTTTTTCTCCAATGAAATAACATGTTGAATTGTGCATAGTAAGACCAAAAACACTTTTACTTATTATAGATATCTTTTTTTTTTTTATGTAATTTTATTGGTAAAACACTTGATAGATGTAATAATTAAGACGATGTTGTTCAAGCTACCTGGAGTTCGGTGAGATCATGCTAGCAACAAATCTCTCCCTAGAAACTTCTACATTTTTCCTCTTTTTAAGTTGTATAACAATACCAATCAAGGATCTTTAATATGCATTTTTAATGCAGTCTAGTATTGCTTCAGCAGAACAGGTAATGTATGAATATTACGCTTCTGGTCTGGCTCTCCATTCAGATGCACAGTGTTTAAAAATCTCTTTCTCTGTTTATGACTGTTGACTCGGCGTGCGGTTGGTTCATCTCTGTAGATATCAGATAGTAGTGAGCGTTATTTATGTATGTCTTTGTTAATTGCTCTCAGTGAGAGCTGAAATGTCTAATATAAATGTCTTATTTATGAGTGTGTTTTGTGTTTGAAGAGCTCAGATTGAATCCGTTTTGATGCTGAAGTGCATGAGCCTGATGTTTCTGATGTAGCTGAATAATATATTTTAGGATTCAGTTGGCAGAAAAATATCCAGGTTACTGTATTAAAAGATTTAATCTGCCTTTAATGGTCTTTAATCGTTTGCAGACAAGATGTCGATTTTTATTTAAGGAACAAGTAATTGTAAGATAATTTGATTTAATATAACTGATAATATACTTGATTAACACAGTTGAGTTGAGTATTCAAGTAGTGAGTAATATTGAAAAATTAGATTATTTTAATATATATATATATATATATATATATATATATTATATCAATATTACATTAAATTGTTCAATTGATCTACATAACTAATATTTTAAATATTTTATCTGTGTCTTAAATTCATTTGTAAAACATAAATGTATTGAAATTATGAATTAATGATAGTACTCTTGATTCTTGGGGATATTTATTTAAAGATTAATTTAATAGTAATAATGAATTTGAATAATAATTTAATCAATTAACACAGTTGTCAAGCAATCAAGTAGTGAGTTAAAGTATATTAGTGTATAATATATTGAGTGAGTATTATATAATTTTTTTTCACTTGTCTACATATCTTTTAATGTACTTTTTTATTATATAATATTTGAATGGTGTCAAAAATATTTTTTTTACAACATAAATATATTGCAATAATGATTGAAATTGTAATACTTTTCTTAGGAATATTTATTTAAATTGATGTTAAAATATATATGCTAATGTAATAATATAAATAATGTAATTTAATATATATTAAAATATAATTTTTGAGAGTCCTGTATTTTTTAAAAGCATTCATATTTACAATTGCTTGAATCTAGATCCTAATTTTACAAACTAGGCAAAGTTTTTCATGATCCACTCTGAAACTGGTTGTTTAGTACTAGTTAGCTAGTAGTTAGTTTTTGTTAATTAGATACATGCATTGGGTTGCAAGTGTTTCATGCTGTGGCAATGTGATAATTAAAGCTAAAGATTAGCATCTGTATTTGGACATCAGTGTAGTTTTGCAGGAATTCCAGTTTTATGGTCTGTTTCTCAGAGGTTTTCACGCTTCATGCATAAAGAGCCAATTGTTGAGCGCTGGATTTTCCCCTGGCCGGTTTGAGCTGATCTACAAACTCACCGTTATCTTTTCCCATCCTCCTCCACAGAGGCACAACAGGAACAGACGTCTAAAGACGAGAGTGACGCCGCCACTTTAAGACAGACCCTCCCCGATCTAACCCCCGATGAAGCCTCAGAAGTCGCCGCCCTCCCCGCAGAAGACCCCGCCCCCGTACAGGCTGACTCCGCCCCTCAGCCTGAGGGGGAGGAGCCTGTCGCCGGGGACGACGCGGCTGGTGATCATGGCAGCGACGAATCGCCCAACAAATCCCCGTCAAAGAAGAAGAAAAAGTTTCGCACCCCGTCGTTCCTAAAGAAAAACAAAAAGAAGTCTGAAACCTAGTGAGGAAGCTTTGCTCAGGTGTTCGGCAATACCTTTTCTTTAAATCGATTTGCTTTTGTACTGTGTTCACATTTAGTGTGTCGATCTTTTTATTAAAGCCTCATATTGTTTTTATTCTTTTAATAAATGCTGGCTGAAGTGCACTCTAAAGTGCAGCTCGTTAAGCATGTTCCACACACCTGTTTTTATAAAGAAAATCTCAATCAGAATACCAATAACCACTATAATGTATCGGAAATGTATCAGATGTTATTGTTAGAGGAAATTAATTGACGAAAGAGTTCCTCCTGGTGTTCAATTAAAATCTTTGCTCTGCTGCATGTTTATGATTTTTCAAATCACATCTATAAACTTAAAAAAAAAAAAAACATGGATAATATTCTGATCAGCACAGATTTGTTTCTCGGATGGAAATCGAATGAGTTTTTGAAATGGGTGAATCTCACAAAACCTGTTTATCACACATTTCACCCTGAAGTCAAAGCAAAGAAGTCATTTTTTGTTTCCTTTAAAGAAAATGAAGCCTTTATTGTGATATTTTCATAACAAATAAGCACACTTTCCTCCCAATTCTCTGCTAAATACATGTTTGTAGCATGAAATCAAGGAGAATTGGGGTCAAAATGTGTGTAACTGCTATGAAAATAATGTTGTAATGCAAAATCTCTTTCTGATTTCACACTTAATTTTCTTAACGCAAAAAAAATCAAATATTTTTTTCCAATGAATTCGCCTGTATCTGTATCTAAACGTCTCCTGTTGCAATGTACTAAACACAAACAGCTTTCCCCGTCATGTAAAGGTTGTTTTAAAACTAGCTGTGACTTTTACCCTGTAGTAATATGAATCACTTATGTTTGCTTTTGCTTTTATATATACATTGTTATTTTTTAGCTCTAGGTTGTTTAGTTTCATTCAAACACGTGAGTAAGTTGACGACACTGTTGTAAATGACACTATTAAACATTCTGTGTAGTTCATCACAGACTCCGTCATTAAAGTTTAAGACAGCCACTGTTGATGATTACATGCGTGTTCTGGACAGGTTTGCAGACATGTGGCGTGTTTTCGTACAGATGCTCACAAACACACACTCCTCAGTGTGTGTTTATAGAAACACTGAAAATATTCACTCAACCATTCTGAATAACCACAAAGAAACGCGCTTCAAAATTAATGTCTGAATACAGCATCTCTGAGTGAATCCCACAAAGAAACGTCCAATTCATATTTCAACCCAAATTTAGAGGAAAAACATGAATGTTGCATAAAAATTAAAACAAGGACCCTTGATGTTTTTGTTGTTGCATATATATATATATATATATATATAATCTCATTACTGTAATATAGTAATGGAAATTGTTGTTTATTATAAGCATAAATTTAGTGCAATAAATACTATATATATACTTGCATAAAATATAAACTTTTCTGCATTTCAGTAATGGGAATATTTTTTATTATAATTTTTTTGTTGGTCTGGTTCGAGTTTTATCCCAAATTTAAGAGAAAAAAACCAATTTTCTATTAAAATTGTCTTATTTTTTAGGACGCTCAAGTTTCATACAAACTGTAATGAAAATGTTTTTCATTATGGTAAAGATATTTTGGAGCGAAAATATGCATAAAATAAAATTGGTTTTCAGATTAGGATTAATAATTAAGAATAATTTTCATTCTTTTGATCTGCCGTTGATTTATGACTTGCACGTTTCTTTACAGATTTCGTGAGATCCATCTGTTGTTGAATGCCTAACCTGTGCAGTACGATCAGTTCTCTTTAATATGATTGTAACTAATTGCTGTTGAGTTTAACACGCATAAAAAGGCAGAAAGGAGTGAAATACTAACCTAATCTTTAATTTTTGATGGCGCAAATAGCTTTTGGCTTGTACAGATATGAATTCTGGACCAATGTGAAGCCGGCAGTGCAGTTTGAGTTTGGTTTAGACACTATAGAGTCTGACTTACAGCCACAACATGAGCGTTTGCTGAAGGACTGCATGGCATTATGGGCTTCTAGCTTGTGTTGTTCGTCCTTTGCACCGTTGATCTTCTCAGCTGTTCTTCATTTTTAGTTTATGTTGAATGCAGTTCTTTTTTTCCAGAATAATTGTATGTAATTCAATTTTAAAAACAATTCTCTTTTTCATGGTACTGTTTATTTTGCAACCATGAATAAAACTACATTTTTAAAAATCAGCCTTGATTTGATTGTTTCATTTATAAAATTGGGCCCGTACTCACAAAACATATTAAAGGCTAAAAAAGTAAAAAACTATTAAAAGTAGCTCATAACTTGCCGATTTAGGAGACCATCTTAAAAAGAATGGGTGTGTCCGTTCTAAATGAAGGACTCTTACATATTTTGCTCTAAGAGTATTTCTTAAAGAGTAAGCGTTTTAGCTTGTGTCTGTGTCACCCTAAATCTAAGTCACTAAAACCAAATCACAAACTATCCTGAAATGGCTGTTATTGCAGATAACATCTGAAGTACAAATTCATTTACATACACATAACAAAAAAACATCCTGTGACAGATTCGCTTGAAATCAGGGGCCTGTACCATGATGGTGGCTGAACAAACTCAGGGTTACAGGATCACAAAGAAACGTCCAATTCATATTTCAACCCAAATTTAGAGGAAAAACATGAATGTTGCATAAAAATTAAAACAAGGACCCTTGATGTTTTTGTTGTTGCATATATATATATATATATATATATAATCTCATTACTGTAATATAGTAATGGAAATTATGTCAACTCGGGCTTGATCCTGAATTAATGGAGCACGTGCACTGAAAGAGTGACATCAGTAATGAACAGCCAATCACATGCCTCGAAACTGTGATTCACGTCTCGTGAGAGAGTCAGTGCAATCACCCTGTTGGGGTTTATTCTGAGATAACAACCGGCTGGATGTACATTATCCCGCTTATTACACGGCTAAAAAGATTTGTTTTTACCATATATGTTGAAATTAATGCTGAAGTCTTCCATTGTAACACGCGATGGTTAAGTGTTTTCAGTCACAAGATGGCGCCAGACAGTCAACGATAGCGGAGTGACTCGTTAAGCATATAAGTAGTAGCGGTCAAGTAGTAGCGGTCAAGATAACTCGTAGTTCCCGGATGAGCGGTGCGTTATTCAATTTGGCGGTTGTTATCTGGGAATAACATACCGCTGGATGGCGCGATTGACCAATCAGAATCAAGTATTCCACAGAGCCGTGTAATAAGAAGAATTTAAACATATTTACAAGATGAAACGATCTATCCATGAAAAAGGAAAACTTAAAGAAAACATCTTGCCATATTAGTGCAAGTAAAAGTTGCAAAGTTAGTTTATAGAGTTATAAAAGTATAAAAACACTTAAAATCTAAGCTCATATGTAGTCATGTTTAAAGCTATTGATTCTAAAACGTATCAATATTGCATATTATCTATATGTTTATATTAATTTAAAATAAAAGCTTAATTACTATTAAACTAAGCTAGCTTGTGTAATGGATTAAGGGTATAAAAATTATATAAATCATATAAAAAATAATCATCTCTAAAAATTAGACAATTTTATCTTTAAAAATGTTTTACTATGTAGCATCCTTTCATTTGGAGTAAGAGAAACTGGGGGAGTGACTTTATTGCGTCAGAGATCCGTCACTTTGCTTGAAGCTGATTGGTCAAATTTCGGTTTGAGATCTCTAAACCAGAACATAACCTGCCCCAGAGCAGGTTAGCTGTGGAGTGTAAGTTACGAAGGCAATGAATGCCAAGCCAAGCCACTTTCATGGTACCTAAAACCCAGGATTGGTGCAAACTAAACTGAAACTTACCTGGCTAGCCAGCTAATGCCAGCTTCATGGTACAGGCCCCAGGTGATTTTAGGTCAGTGAGTGTTTTGGCTGTCGGCCAATGAATAGTAAGATGGCAGCACAAACACTTCCGGTGGCTTCACCAGCTGTCTGCAGTTTAGAAGGCAATTAGCAATCCAGTCATTAGGCTGTATATTGATCAGTGGACTGGCCCTGGCACGCACATTTGGAAACGTGGCTAGTGTGTGGCTCAGCCAATAAAAGAGTGGTGATCATTTTAATTCCTGATGCACAAGTTTTTGATTTAAAAAGTGATCATTACTTCACTGAAAGCGTAACTTTGAAATTAATTTTTCAATTAATTTGAAATGGCGTTTAGATCTTCTTTTGAGGAGGATTTGTCTTGTCCTGTATGCTGCGACGTTTTTATAAATCCTGTAGTTCTGTCCTGTAGTCACAGCTTCTGTGAAGATTGTGTTCAGAGGTTTTGGGAAAATAAAAGCGTTCAAGAATGTCCAGTTTGCAGAAGAAGATCTTCAAAGGAACATCCTCCAGTAAACCTGGCTTTGAAGAACCTGTGTGAGACCTACCAACAAAAGCAGAGCCGAAAGTCTTTTTTTGGAGGTGAAAGTGTCTGCGGTCTTCACAAAGAGAAGCTGAAGCTCTTCTGTCTGGATGATCAAGAGCCTGTGTGTTTAGTGTGTCGAGACTCCAGAAAACACACAAACCACAGATTCTGTCCTGTAGATGAAGCCGTGATGGACAATAAGGTCAGACAAAACAAATTCTGTCTTTCTGTCTGTCTGTCTGTCTGTCACTTTCAAAGTGAAATAATAATATACATATGGATCAAAATGCATCAGCAGAAATTAATTTTGTCCACTGTCTGTAATGTACTAAATAAAAGGCAACGGCCCTAAAATGAAAGCAATCAGACTTTCAAAGTGAAATAATATACATATGGATCAAAATGCATCAACAGAAATTAATTTTGTCCACTGTCTGTAATGTACTAAATAAAAGGCAACGGCCCTAAAATGAAAGCAATCAGAGGTGTAAGAGACTGTTTTTATGTTTATTCAATTCAGGAGATACTTAAAGATGCACTGGAACACTTAGAGGTGAAGCGGATAATACTTGAGACATTGAAACAGTGTTTCAATGAAGATGATGAACAAGTTAAGGTTTGAGAAACAATTTTTTTTAATCCATTTTAGGAATGTAAATGTAAGATATTGATAGATCTAGTTTGGCCATTATATTTTAAAGTGTCTTTTAATTTTAGTATAATGCTCAACATGCTGAGAGGCGGATTAAAGCAGAGTTTGAGGAACTTCACCAGTTTCTACGTGATGAAGAAGCTGCCAGAATAACAGCACTGAGAGAAGAAGAGAAACAGAGGAGTCGGATGATGAAGCAGAAGATTGATGAGACGAGCAGACAGATTTCATCTCTCTCATGTACAATCAGAGACACAGAGGAGCAGATGAAAGATGATGACGTTTCATTTTTGCAGGTCTCAATGGATTATGAATGAATGACATTTTCAGAGAATAAAACCAAATTCTGGTTCTGATTCATTTGCCTCTTTCTTTTTTTCTTTTTTTTCTTTTCTTTGCAGAACTTTAACGGCACATTGCAAAGGTTTGTGTCATTCCTGTTTCTCTTCTCAGCGGTTCTGAACTCAAACCAGCAGTGTCTCTGACTCCTGAATGCTTTATTTTCAGAGCTCTGTGTAACCCGCCGATTCCAGAACCCATTCCAGCAGTGATGATCAGTTTATCAAATCACCTAACCAACCTGAAGCTCACGGTCTTGCAGAAGATGCAGGACAATCTTGGTGAAAGTATGACGGAACACAATGACTTCTGTGGTTATTTGTCTTACTGTATGTGTATGATTATATATCTGTGTTCTCTCTTTTAGCCTCGTACTTCAACATCGATCCATCTCGTATTCAATGCGATGCAATGGCGATTTCTGACAAACCAGAGGAATACAATGAATATGAGCATTTTCCGAGGGATGGAGGGAACCGTACAAAAATGTTTGGGGGCCAACAGTCCAATGAAGACCAACAGCAATCTCCACGGAAAGTTCATTCAGTCTATGCAACTAACTTATTCCCCGCCCCGGTCCGCACCACAGAACCAACCTACAACCTACCCATGCTCCACAACAGCCGTCTTCAGTCACCGATCATCCACAGCCAGATTATGATGAGTATGAACTATGGGCGCAAACTAGTCGTAGGCCCCCCTCAGTCGAAATCACGGGTGAGAGTTCCCTCTCCACTGGGTTTGCCGTTTGGAGCGGGGTCCCCCTCGACCGACGCCACATTTGGGAGGGGGTCCTTTTGACATTCAAGGGGGCCTGAAGTCCAGTCTTCAAGATATGGTGATCTGTGACAATCAAGTTCAGATGTAGCTATTTCACACAAAGATATTTAATCATTGCTAATTATTAATTTGTGGTTCTGTCAAGTCATTTTTTTTTTTCCAAATAAAGTAACTATTATCGTGTGTTTCCCCCAAATACACTTGCAAAAATTTTTTACTTTCACATTTGAATTTCCTGTAACTATCAAATGTCTTAGTTGTTCGTGTAGCTTTTTAAAATGTTTTTTTTAGTTTCCAAAACATTATTTGAAAAATGTCAGCGAAAATATTCATGAAAATAATCATGTAGCTTTTTAAAATGTTTTTTAGTTTCCAAAACATTATTTGAAAAATGTCAGCGAAAATATTCATGAAAATAATCAGCTATGAATATTTACCTCCTTTAGCAAAGGCACAAATGTGTCAACTAGATGTGTTTTCGGATTTAAATATATTGGTGTATTTATTTACAGAATAAGTTGTGTGAATTGTTCACATTATGAAGATGCAAACTACACTAATGATAGTGATTCAAACCGCAGTCTTGTGTGCATCAGTCTGTAAACACTTGCTGAGTTTACATTTTGACATTATGAAGGAAATGCTTGTTTATGCTAAACATGTGTTGCTGTGTATGTATGTGTGTATATATATGCGCCATCTGAAAGCTTTTCAGTGATAATTTATACTATTTTGAAACAAAACAATTCAGGAACCAGCAAAATTGTAGGTAACAAAATATCAAACCACTGTTTTGGTCATTGTATATTGTAATTAACTTTCCCTGTCTTAACCGTGCCCTTTTTGTTGTTTCATTATTAGTTTCTTTACCCCACCTGTCCTCCTTCATTATCCTCATTTGATTCCCTGTTTTTCCTCCGTGTTTTCAATCTTATGCAAGATTGTTGTCTAATGTTCCTATTTTGAAACAAAACAATTCAGGAACCGGCAGAATTGTAGGTAACAAAATATCAAACCACTGTTTTGGTCATTGTATATTGTAATTAACTTTCCCTGTCTTAACCATGCCCTTTTTGTTGTCTCATTATTAGTTTCTTTACCCCACCTGTCCTCCTTCATTATCCTCATTTGATTCCCTGTTTTTCCTCCGTGTTTTCAATCTTATGCAAGATTGTTGTCTAATGTTCCTATGTTGCCTGATTGTGTCCTGTCCTGTCGTCTTTGCCTTGTGTCGGTGGAGCTTTGATTTCTCCTACAGGGTAGTGTTTGCTTCATTTTTGAACTTTAATAAAGCCCATTGGACTCAGCGCTTGAGTCCTCACAATGCCTTCAGTTCAGTCTAAACTTGACTGAACAATCTGGTCAAAAGGAGGACTCCGCATAGCTTGATGGGCACCTTTCTATCTTCTAGCAGTCCCAAGTCCAAAGGTGCTGTGTCCGGAGGTCCCAAATCCAGTGGTCCTGGGTCAGAGGATAATGGATGGAAGACAATAGGTAGGACATATCTCTGGGACCCCGGTTTAAAAGCAGGAGTGTTATACTGGATGGTGACTGAAGGTGTTTTAGGTTATGCGCTGGTCTAGTTATTCTGAATGGATCCGTATAGCAGCATGTACAGTAAGGTCAAGACAGCAGGTTTAGTGGTCTTTTGGCGTCTTGTTTGATATCGCAGCTTGACTGGTGCTTATTTAGGCTATATTAAAAAGGTGGTGGGGGAGGGGGATAAATTCTGGATAATTTTTTTTTCAAATAGAGATCATGACTCCCCTACGAACGGACAACTAAACAAAATGGCATGTAATTTACTAGAGGTTCTGACAAAATGTTAATGGCTGCGGTCTATTTATTTTTTTTTAATTTGAATGATTGCAAAATCTGCACCTCTTCTGTGGCTAATTTTAATTTCATATTGATCCTTACTCCATGAAGTCAAGCAGCAGAACCTAAAGGTGGGGTAAGCGATTTCTGGTAGCCAATGTTGACATTTGAAATCACCAAAACAAACACGCCCCTACCCCAAAGTTGTTTTGCTATTCGGCCCGAATCGGGTTTCTAACGTGTTTTTGAAAAATCGCTTACCCCACCTTTAAGTGACAATATGCAAATACTACTGGCCCATTTTGGGGTGAACTAAATATACAAGACTAGTTTTACACGTCACTGTTTATAACACGTCATGGGGCATACATTACGAGTATACCCACTTCTCCAGGCACCACTGCACATATGCATAAATATAAATATAAATATAAATATAAATAAAGCACACACACACACACACACACACACACACACAATAATAAATAGTTAAATGTGTGATTTATTCACATTAAGAAAATGCAAACTACGATGTGTCAGTGACTGAAACAACTGTGGTGTGTGCATTATAATACTGTACACACCTGCTGTATTGACATTTAGACATTTAATGAAGTAAATGAGTGCTGTTTGTGCTAAACTCATCATCATGATGCCAGTTTTCTTGATAGTTTTTAGTCTGTAGCTCTGTGGTTGATCGGTTTCATCTTCTATTCATCTTCTAAAACCTACTATTTATTGACACTTAAATGTGAAATGCTACCTAAAACAAAAGCATTTCTTCTATTAATTAATTAATTAATTTTTATTAATATTATAAGCTGTTTTAAGGCTTTCTACACTGTAAAAAATTATTGTGATTTTAACAGTAAAAGACTGTAAACATGCTACAGTAAAAACCTGTTAACTGGTTAACAGTAAGTTTCCATACTATATTCGTGTAATTACTTGATATTATTTGATGTTTTTTTTGTTGTCAGCTGCCGGTATTTTACCGTAAATTTCACAGATTTTTTTTTACAGTGTAGTGAACATGAAATGGCTAGAATGTACAAAAGTACAAAAAACATCTGATCGTTAATGTGGCCATCAGAGATTGTAACTAACAAATTCTTCAGCAGATAAAAACACCTTGACATGACAGATGATTCCTGTATGAGCTGAACGAACTGAACTCTGAACAGTTCAAAGGTAAACTATTATAAATGCTGATATAAAACAATGAACTTTAGACAGACATCTGATGATCTAGTTCAGTCGACATTTAACACTGAATACTTTGGTGATTATTACGATTTCTGATGGTGATTAATATTATATTGCATGTTTTTAGGAATATTGGCTGTGGATATGAAGCTTTTTGATTGGAAACAGACTGCTGAGAGTTAAAACCAGATTATTACTTCACTAAAAGAGAAACTTTGTTACGACACGTAACTTCGAAAATGACATCTAGATCTTTTTCTGAGGAGGATTTGATTTGTCCAGTGTGCCGTGAGATTTTTATAGATCCTGTACTTCTGTCCTGTACTCATAGCTTCTGTAGATATTGCCTTCAGAGATTTTGGGAAAAACAAGGACATAAAGCATGTCCACTCTGCAGGAGAAGAGTTTCAAAGGAAGCTCCATTAAATCTGAATTTGAGGAACCTGTGTGAGGCCTACCGAGAGGAGAGAAGACGGAAATCTTCAATAGGAGACGAAGCCGTCTGCAGCCTTCACAAAGAGAAGCTCAGGCTCTTCTGTCTGGATGATCAGCAGGCCGTGTGTCTGGTGTGTCGAGACTCCAGAAAACACACAAACCACAAATTCTGTCCCATAGATGAAGCTCTGACAGATAATAAGGTAAGAGAAATTATGTTATGAAATCATCTTAATAATTATTGACAAGCATTCGACAAATATGCTCACTCCAATATTTTATTGAGTCCCCTTTCGCTTTGATAACATTGTGCATTGGCTGTGGTGTTGTTTTGACAAAGTTATGCAACATCACAGCGTTTATTTCCACCAAACTTTGCATTAATTATTGGCCGAGATCCTGTACTGACAAAGGGACAGTCGAATCACTCTGTAAAGTCGACTCTTGCACAAGACTTTGAGCTTAATAAATCTTAGCCTCCTGGAATATGGCCATAGGAAATGTATTCTGACATGGTTGTATAAGAAATGAAAAGCTACCTGTATATAAAATAACTTTATATATACATAAATACACACACACACACACACACACACACACATACACATATACTGTATACAGTATATGTGTGTGTTTCTAAATAATTGGTATATTTATTCTCACACACTAACCTTTTGTAATGAAAAATCACTGAATAAATGTATAATGTAAACTTTTTCCTCCACTATCCATAATAATAATATATGTGAAATAAAAGAGGCAAAATCTGAAATATGAAAATAAACAAAGCCGGAAAGTGAGACACTATTGTTCTGTTGATTTCTTCCAGGAGAAACTCCAGGATTTACTGAACCACTTACAGGAGAAACTGATCAAATTTGAGGATTTTAAAGAGAATTTGGATAAATCTGCTAAACATATTAAGGTTTGATATACTGAAGTTTATATATTTATTGTGTTTAATCTAGTTTAATCATATCTTTCTGTGAGCTCAGGCTCAGGCTCAATGCACAGAGAAGCAGATTAAAGCAGAGTTTCAGAAACTTCACCAGCTTCTGCATGACGAGGAAGCGATCAGAATAACAGCGCTAAGAGAGGAAAAGAAGCAGAAGAGTCAGAAGATGATCGACAAGATTGAGGAGACCAGCAAACAGATTGTATATCTCACACGCACAATCAGAGACACAGAGGAGCAGATGAAAGCTGGAGATGATTCATTCCTGCGGGTGCCAATGAGTTTTCATTATTTTGATACATTTGGAGACAACTGCAAATATATCAAATTCATTTTCAGAGATTAAAACTGAATTCAGTGTTGCTTAATTTGTATTTCGTTCTTTTTCTTTTCTTTACAGGACTTAAAGAACACACTGAAAAGGTTTGTAGGCTATTTTAGTTCTGAGTTCTGTGATCTGAATTAAACTGACTCCTGAATGTTTTTCCAGAGGTCAGCATGGTCTGTCAGATCCAGAGAACGTTTCAGAAATGCTCATCGATGTTCCAAAACACCTGAGCAACCTAAAGTTCACCGTGTTACAGAAGATGCAGGAATATATTAAATACAGTAAGTATATCATTAAAGCTTTTCGTTTTACACTTGTCGAAAGTTTGGATCAAATTTAGACTGCATCTCCTCCCAGAGTTTTCAAGCTAGAACCACCAAACTTGAGTCAGATCTTGAGACTGGTCTGACTCGGGTTGCTCTATTTTTTCGAACTGATCAGACTTACGATTTTTGTAAAAACAGATTATCAAAAGTCCAATAGACTTTCATTGAGGGGGTCAAAACTTTTGTACAATAAGATTAGAGTGTTTAAGCTGTCTGTCACTAGCTACGCTTAATGACTAGCAACATGCAATCATGCTAGCAACATGTTAACAACATGCTAATCATGCTAGAAACATGATTAGCAACATACTAATCATGCGCTATTCTAACAACATAATCATGCTAGAAACATGATTAGCAGCATACTAATGCGCTATTCTAACAACATGATAATCATGCTAGAAACATGTTAACAGCAAATGATAGCTATGTGCTAACAACATGCTAATCATGATCGAAACATGATTAGCAACATACTAATCATGCGCTATTCTAATAACATAATCATGCTAGAAACATGTTAACAACAAATGCTAGCAACGTGCTAACAACATGCTAATCATGCACTATTCTAACAACATGATATCCATGCTAGAAACATGTTAACAAAAAATTTTAACATGCTAACAACACTGCGCTATTCTAACAACATGATATCCATGCTAGAAACATGTTAACAACAAATGCTAACAACGTGCTAACAACATGCTAATCATGCACTATTCTAACAACATGATATCCATGCTAGAAACATGTTAACAAAAAATGTTAACAACGTGCTAACAACATGCTAATCATGCTAGAAACATGATTAGCAACACACTAATCATGCACTATTCTAACAACATAATAATCATGCTTGAAACATGTTAACAACAAATGCTAGCAACATGCTAACAACATGCTAATCATGCTAGAAACATGATTAGTAACATACTAATCATGTGCTATTCTAACAACATGATAATCATGCTAGAAACATGTTAAAAACAAATTCAAGCAATGTGCTAACAACATGCTAATCATGCTCGATACATGATTAGCAACATACTAATCATGCGCTATTTTTAACAACATGATCATCATGCTAGAAACATGTTAACAACAAATGCTGGCAACGTGCTAACAACATGCTAATCATGCTCGATACATGATTAGCAACATACTAATCATGCGCTATTTTTAACAACATGATCATCATGCTAGAAACATGTTAACAACAAATGCTGGCAACGTGCTAACAACATGCTAATCATGCTCGAAACTTGATTAGCAAACATACTAATCATGCGCTATTCTAACAACATGCTAATCATGCTCGAAACATGATTAGCAACATACAAATTGTGCGCTATTCTAACAACATGATATCCATGCTAAATCATGCTAGCAATACGTTAACAACAAATGCTAGCAACATGATAACAACATGCTAGAAACATGATTAGCAACATACTAATCATGCGCTATTCTAACAGCATGATAATCCTGCTAGAAACACGTTAACAACAAATACTAACAACATGCTAATCATGCTAGAAACATGTTAACAACAAATACTAGCAATGTGCTAACAACATGCTAATCATGCTAAATCATGCTAGCAACACGCTATTAACATCTGTCTAAACTTTCAAACTTCAAGCTTTTATAACTGCTTCAAACTTTCAGGCTAGGCTTTCTCAAGCCAACTTCAAAGTTTATTCACAAAATTTACTCATCTAGTTTGGTTTTGTAATATTATTTCACTGTTTTTACTGCATAAATGCAGCCTTGCTGAGCAGAATAGACTTCATTAAAACATTTCGAAATCATAATGTTTGTGCACGTGTCCTCTCTCTTCAGCTCCAGTGACCTTGGACCCCAACACTGCTCACTGTACTCTCATCGTGTCTGATGATCTGACCAGCGTGCGATTCAGGGATGAGGAAAAGCTGCTTCCTGATAATCTCGAGAGATTTGACTGTCGGGAGTGTGTTCTGGGTTCAGAGGGCTTCGACTCAGGACTTCACTGCTGGGACATTGAGGTTGGAGACCTCACAAACTGGACCTTTGGTGTGATGACAGAATCTGTTCAGAGGAAGGATGACGTTCTGACAAAGAAAGGACTCTGGGTTCTTGGGTACGCTTCTGGTGAATATTATGCATTCATTACACCAGAGCAGTCGCCTCCCCTGTCAGTGAAGAATAAACTTCAGAAAATCAGAGTTCAGCTGAACTATGAAAAAGGAAAACTGTCATTCATCGATCCTCTCAATAACGCATACATTCACACTTTTACACAGAAGTTCACTGAGAAAGTCTACCCATGGTTTGGTGTCCGCTGTGACATTTGTCCTCTGGTGATCTTACCAGTGATCTGAAGAAAACATTTAGAGACGAAATTACTGAATTATTGAGTAGAACAAAGATCAATCCGATTTTAACATTAAAATAGAAAGTTTGTTTTGTTAGCATTTGTAAATTAATTCACTCTGACATGTTTTAATGTCTCTGCTGAGGTGTATATTTTGTGTCCTAATCTAAACTATTTTAAAAAGCATATAACAGAATTATGAAGTTATTATTATTAATAGTATATAGTATAATAATATATTATAGTATAACATTCATTTCCTGTAAAGCTGCTTTGCAATGATGTGCACTGTACAAATAAACATGAATTGAATTATGCTACCATACTTTGATGAACAATATCTTTACTATATATTTTCCAAAACAAAAAGTCAAAAATGACCAAATAACACCTGAGGGTTAATGGTGTAACTTTCAGTTGCTGTTAGTATCCTAACGAATAGAATCTTCTTAAATGTATAGATGGTACACGTCAAGCTTTCCTTGTGATTTTATAGCCATGTGTACAGATCACTGGTCTGTAATAGAGATATAGTATATTATTATTTATAAAGTAAAACAATTAGTCAAAATTAGTCCTGGTGCACATCCCTTTTCCTGAATTCAAAAGTTGATTTCTGTACACTGCAGAGACCAAAATGCACACATGGTGATGGCTGTCAGAGGATCCAGCAGATGTTTTACAGGAACTGGCCTTCGTTTCATCGGTTTTGTTTTCAAGGAACTTCAGAAGCTTTGCGTTCGTTTTCAGAACTACAGAGAACTGGTTTAAAGCTATGTTTACATGTCTCTATGTGTGAGTCCCATAAATGTGGATGTGGCATATGTATTTCTTAACTCATTCACAGTATTAGTGATCAGTGAGCTGATAATGAACGATAAACAATTGCATTGAACATGGTTCTGATATGACAATAATAAGCGTGACTTACACCATTTATTTTTATTTTCATGATTGTTTCAATATAATTTACAGTGCAATAAATCAAATCAGTTGAAAGGAACACAGAAATATTTAGGCACTATTTGTAACAGGCAAATGAGGACTGACAAATGTAAAGTTGAAATTTGATTCATAGCAGCTGATGTGTGTAAATATTTCTCTTCCTCCCACACCTGCATCATCTCCAGTACCTGCCACTTCAAGAATGAGGGGAATCAAGAAACAAGCATCAAACAGCCATGAATAATTGCTCTGAATGATGAGTGCACTACTATCAGGTGGATTCTGATTGGCTGTCAATGTTTTTATTGTTCGTCAACTGAAAAAAAAACGTTTTTAAAGAATTTCTAGCGATGTTGTTCCTCTGTATCGTTATCATTCTAGTTGTTGTGTGACTCTGCTATGCTTATAATTAGAAAGGTTATTCCATAAATGTGGATGTGGCATATGTATTTATTAACTCATTCACAGTATTAGTGATCAGTGAGCTGATAATGAACGATAAACAATTGCATCGAACATGGTTCTATGACAATAATAAGCGTGACTTACACCATTTATTTTTATTTTCATGATTGTTTCAATATAATTTACAGTGCAATAAATCAAATCAGTTGAAAGGAACACAGAAATATTTAGGCACTATTTGTAACAGGCAAATGAGGACTGACAAATGTAAAGTTGAAATTTGATTCATAGCAGCTGATGTGTGTAAATATTTCTCTTCCTCCCACACCTGCATCATCTCCAGTACCTGCCACTTCAAGAATGAGGGGAATCAAGAAACAAGCATCAAACAGCCATGAATAATTGCTCTGAATGATGAGTGCACTACTATCAGGTGGATTCTGATTGGCTGTCAATGTTTTTATTGTTCGTCAACTGAAAAAAAAACGTTTTTAAAGAATTTCTAGCGATGTTGTTCCTCTGTATCGTTATCATTCTAGTTGTTGTGTGACTCTGCTATGCTTATAATTAGAAAGGTTATTAACACTTCATCGTTATTGTTTTCATTGTAGCTATCATCCTTGATGTGAACGGGCCTTTACACGAGGTTTGAATGTTATTGATATTCACTGCAGATTTATTGCAAATTATCATTGGATAACGTACATGCAGGTCTGTTCCTCATGCAAAGTGTCACACATTCTTTAAACATTATTTGGTTCCCCAAAGAACCTTTTTTTTCTGTGAAGAACATTTTAAACAACCATTTTCCACTATAAAGACCCTTTTGTGCAATGGAAAGTTTCCATGCATGTTGAACCATTAATAGCACTAAAGAACCTTTATTTCAAGAGTGTATGACTTCTGAATACTTCAAGACACAAGTCATACAGACTACTTTTATGGTGCTTTTTATCATTTTTGGAGCATCCTTAATCATTGTTCTTGTGCAAAAAGATCTCTTGGGATTGGGCTTATTGAGTTATTGTGAATTAACATCTAAAGAATAATAATAAACAGGGCAATATTATAGCCTATAAAGATTTAGACTACTATTTGATTTAGTATTATTTATTTAAATTAAAAATTCCGGTGATCTCTAAAGTGTTGAAATAGCGAACCTTGTGTTGAAATAAAAAGGTTAACATTCATCTTGAGACTGAGAGGATCCGGTTTATCTGCATTGTACAGATGATGCAGAACAGAATGTAGCACATTTCTCAGTGTAGAGTTGCGCTCCTCCCATGCACTGGATATAAAGACAGACACACCTCACCTGTTGTTTTAGCTCATATATTGCCTCAAACTCTGTGCATTTCTGCTGTGGATGTGAAGCTTAAAACCTGAAAGTGTATCTTTAAAGATAGATTTGGACGTGTAAAATGGCATCTGAAGGTTTTACTGAGGTGGACTTCACTTGTCCTGTGTGCTTTGACTTCTTCATAAATCCTGTTGTTTTGAACTGCAGTCACAGCATCTGTTCAGACTGCATCCAGGCGTTTTGGGAAAGTAAAGGAATTAGGGAATGTCCCATGTGCAGAGAGATATCGACCGTGAATGATCCTACGTTAAATCTGGCTTTGAAGAACCTGTGTGAGACCTTCCAACAGGAGCAACGTCAAAGATCTTCATCAGGAGCTGAAGCCGTCTGCAGCGCTCACAAAGAGAAGCTGAAGCTCTTCTGTCTGGAGGATCAGCAGACCGTGTGTTTGGTGTGTCGAGACTCCAAACTACACACAGACCACACTTTCTGTCCCATAGATGAAGCCGTGAACAATAATAAGGTCAGTAAACGTCAATAGTTTTCACAGTGACAAATATATAAAAATGATTTCAAATGTGCATGTTTTTGAGGTTTATGTATGCACACAAAGGAATGAATAAATGGATGTGTTTTTGTCTGTTGAATGAGCTGAAACCAAGCTGTTGATTTGGAAGCACACTAATACATTTGCTAATGTCTTCATGTCTTTTAGAATTTCATTGTTTTCAAGCTAAATATCTATGGAAGCCCATTTTAGCCATTTTATGAAAAATAAAACAAGGTAATTGTGACTTTTTTCTCACAATTCTCAATAAGAAATTCACAATTCTGAAAGACGAAGCAGCAATTCTGTGAAAAAAATCAGAATTGAGTGAAACTCGCAAAGACAGAATTGTGAGATAAAAAGCCACAATTACCTTGTTTTATTTTTTATTCAATGGCAGAAACAGGCTTGCATATAAATCAGATCTATGAATCGGATTAAAACATTTTTTACTGAATTGTTATGTTATAATTTACAGGGAGTGGTTGGAGTTACAGTATGGTCAATTAGGCATTGAACAGGTGTCACAGGTTTCAGTTCATTTTCACCCCTCCCTCCCTCCAAACACATTCCCTCCATTGTGATATCAAATAAAAGAGAAACGATCAAATAAATCAATAAAACAGAAGAGCGAGACACTATTTTAACTAATAAGTTTTATTAGTTAACATAAGTTAACCACTTCAGTTAACAATGAGCTAAGAATGAACAATACTTCTACAGCATTTTTTAATCTTAGTTAATGTTATTTTCAACATTTACTAATGCATTTATTATTATTAATCACTCCGGTCGGGGACCAAACAATCACACCATTCACGGGAACCAGAAACGATTGGATTTATTAAAAGTTATACGTGAAACATGAAGAGCATCTCTTCGGGGTGGCCACAGGCCAACATAACAAACAAAAAGGAGACTAGAACAACAAAAAAGAGAAATTAAATAACCTAGACAATTTATAAAACAAAAATACAGCCAGCTACCTAACTTCCTAACCAAAAACAAAGCCCAAACGAATTCACAAAAGAAAATGGGCAGGACACCCCTGCGCTCTGTTTCACATGGTGAGAAGTTTTAGTCACAACAGCAGGTGTTAAACATTAGTTTGGCCGGAGGAGGAATCCAGGTGCTCCGAACCCGTTCGTGTTCGCACCAACAATGGGCTCCCCGACAGCTGGCAAGCGGCTTCCTTAAAAGACTCCGCCTTAATAGAACGACCAATTATGTGCCGACACCACAGCATCATGCAACCTATGAGAGAGCAGACCAAAGAGGAGCCCGAGAGAGAAAGAGAGAAACAGAGCAATACAATACAAAAAAAACAATCATCAAAGAAACGGTCGTAACAGCATTGTTAAAATTAAAAGTTGTGTTAGTTAACATTATAATGCATTGCGCATTAACGACTGTATTTTCATTAACTTACACTAAGAAAGATGAATAAATACTGTAATAAATGCATTGTTCATTGTTCATTCATGTTACATTAACTAACATTAACTAATGGAAGCTTATTGTAAAGTGTTACTGTTGTTTTCTTTCAGGAGAAACTCAAAGCTGTACTGGAACACTTACGGGAGAAGATGGGAATATTTGATAATTTTAAACAGACGTTGGATCAGACTGCTGATATTAATAAGGTTGGAAATAAACAGTGTGATTTAAGTACTTCTGGATGTTATAGATCTAGTTTGGCTATTATATCTTGCTGTTAATTTTCAGGTTCAAACTGAAGAAACAGAGGAGAAGATCAAGAAGGAGTTTGAGGAACTTCGTGAGATTCTGCGCAATGAAGAAGTGGCCAGAATAACAGTACTGCGAGAGGAAGAGAAGCAGAAGAGTCAGATGATAAAGGAGAAGACTGGGAAGACCAGCAAACAGATCGTATCTCTCAAATGTGCAATCAGAGACGTAGAGGAGCAGATGAAAGCTGAAGATGATTCATTCCTGCAGGTGCCAATGAACCCTCATCTACAAAGTGTTCATTATTAAGACAAATGCACACATATGAATGGCATTTTCAGAAATTAAAAAATGCATTTCTTTCTTTTTGTCTTTACAGAACTTTAAGAGCACACTGCAAAGGTTTGTTGTGTTTCCTGTTTCTCTTGTGAATTCTCTGGCTCTTCTCTGATTCCTGAAGGTTTTTGTTTTTTCCAGAGCCCAGTTTAGCCTGCCAGATCCGGGGAATGTTTCCGATTTGCTGATCAATACCCAAGAATACCTGAGTGACCTGAGGCTCACTGTGCTACAGAAGATTGACAGCTCCAGGGGGGACCCCAGTGTAAGAGGAGGCCACAATATCAGACGGGGCCACAGTTCCAGAGAGGGGCCTAGTGTCAGGGGGGACCCCACTTCCAGAGGAGGCCCCAATTTCAGAGGGAGCCCCAGTAATAGAGGGGACCCCAGCTTCAGGGGGGGGCATCATTTTAAGGAGGACCACAGTAACAGAGGGGACCTCAGTTTCAGGGGGGATCCTAGTTTTAAGGAGGACCCCAATTCCAGAGGGGGACACAATTTCAAAGGGGGCCACAGTACCAGAGGGGACCCCAGTTTTAAGGAGGGCCCCAATAACAGAGGGGACCCTAGTTTTAAGGAGGACCCCAATTCCAGAGGGGGACACAATTCCAAAGGGGGCCACAGTACCAGAGGGGACCCCAGTTTCAGGGGGGGCTACAATTTTAAGGAGGACCACAGTAACAGAGGGGAACACAGTTTCAGAGGAGGTCACAATTTTAGGGGAAACTCCAGTTTCCGAGGGGACCACAGGGGCCACAGTACTGGGGGAGCACATAGATTCAGAGGGGGCCGGAATTACAGAGGGGCCCTTAATAACGAGGGGGCCAAAGTTCCAGAGGGTGCGGAGGAGTTCCAGGGGAGCCCCTGAGGGGGACAAGTTAAAGGGATAGTTCACTCAAAAATGAAAATTCTGTCATCATTTATTAACCCTCATGTCGTTCCAAACCTGTATACATTTCTTTCTTATGTTGCACACAAAATAGGATATTTTGAAGAATTTTGAAGGACCAAACAGTTGTTGGTCCCCATTGACTTCCATAGTAGGGAAAAAAATACTATGGAAGTCAATAGGGACCATCAACTGTTTGATTACCAGCATTCTTCAAAACATCTCCTGTTATGTTTAACATAAGAAACAACATGAGGGTGAGTAAATGATGACACAATTTAAATTTTTGGGTGAACTATCCCTTTAATTGGGAGTGTGTTGCAGCCATCAAAATCGAAATTTGTTTATATTCATAAAATGCATTTATGTTGGTCAGCAGAAAGAAACTCATACAGGTTTGAAACAACATGAGGGTGAGTAAATGATAGAATTGACATGTTTGGGTGAACTATCCCTTTAAGCTTAGCCAGCTATACCCTCCACCAGCAATAAAACTATTCAAATAAGTACAAATATGTTACATTCTGAAAATTGCAAATGCAAGAAATTGAATTTATTGAAAGTCGCAGAGTAAACTGCACTGAAGAAAATAGCCTTTCAAACCATTTTTATTCAGAAACTGCTAGTAAATTTGACAAATAATTGCAAAGTAAGGGCAAGTAACAGTGAATTAAACATGACATTTTGAAGTAGAAAGACTGTAATAGCTTTTCTTTTTAAGGACGTTCTCTAGTAGTGGTTATTTTATTTACAACTTCGAAAAATAAATGTTATAGTGGTACACAGACATTAAGCATAGGTTAGACAGTTTATTATTTCTTCATGAGTTTTTTTTAATCGGTGATGGATAGTTTGTTGACGACAGACAAAGACTTAATGGCAATAAACATTCACACAGAACACAGAATAGAAGTATAGAAAGATACTTCTATTATTAACTTAATTTGAACGAATCTGCTTAATTTTTTACTGTATTAACTAAGATATCATCCGATTTTCATTACTTTTATTTTATTTTATTTGACTTTGATCAGAGGTATCAAGTTTTTTAATACTAGCCTTTTTAACGGTGTAGACAGCCATATAAAATCGGCTTTATTTTTTTTCCATTTTAATGGATTCTGTTTAATGGTTGAATTACATTTTAGCAATAAAAAAACATGTCTAATTAATTGAAATGAAAGGTAGGAAAGAATCAGAAGGTATTAATCTTACTAGAAGCAGTGTACCGTGGAAATGACTTTGAAACTGATATTTTAAGGTAAAAAAAACTTACATGTAGTTACTTTAACAACAATTTATTAGAAGTTTAACAAAAATGAAAATTTTAGGGCCTCAATTCCACGTTTTTTTAATATATTTTTTTCTTTACTTAAGTTTACTTAAACTTTAATAAAAAAAAAGCATGTCTTATCCAAATGAATTCATAAAACGTTTGTTTTATAATTAAGAATGTAATGACATTTTTGCAATAATAGGGGCATATGAAATGCTTAATTTTTTTCAGAAATTATGTGTTGTCTTTCAATGTGCCTGAATTTATGATTTAATACAAATGTATTATCAAAAACAGCAGTAATCAAATTAAGGCATAAAAAATAACCTTTTAATCTTTTAAAATGTAATCAAATTAAAATTTGAAAAATTACTTTTATTTTTGGCAACCAAAGTTCTGCACAAAAGAGGTGTACTGTTTAAATAAAAACATGGATGAAAAAGTGTGATATTTGTGACGCTGGAGCACAAAAGCAGTCATTATAGCAATAGCCAAAAATACATTGTATGGGTCAAAATGATTGATTTTTCTTTTATGCCAAAAATCATTAAGATATTAAGTAAAGATCATGTTCCATGAAGATATTTTGTAAATTTCCTACCGTAAATATATCAAAACTTACATTTTGATTAGTAATATGCATTGCTAAGAACTTAATTTGAACAACTTTAAAGATGATTTTCTCAATATTTAGATTTTTTTGCTCCCTCAGATTCCAGATTTTCAAATAATTGTATCTCAGCCAAATATTGTCCGATCCTAACAAACCATACATCAATGGAAATCTTATTTATTCAGCTTTCAGATGATGTATAAATCTCAAATTCAGAAAATGTACCCTTATGACTGGTTTTGTGGTCCAAGGTCACATTTATTAAAATAATTTATATTTATATCATTTTAAACACATTTTTCGTTTTTTAAAAATGCAAGACAGTGCACTGGAATGGAAAATAACTTTTAACATTAATACGTTTATAACACTTTGTTTTTAGTACTTGATGAGCGAGATGCTAAAAAGCAGCAAGATGCTGAAAAATCAAAGAAAAAGCACAACGGACAAAGACATCCATCTGTAGCACGTTTATATAAAATAAGCTTTGATTTATTCTACTACTTGAAATACTCTCTAAAAAGATCAGAAGCTTTGGACAACACGTCATTTATACTCATGCTGAAATGTTTGCTATTAACATGACATTATTACTAAAAAGTTAAATTTTTTCACGTCAAACCTGTTATTACTTCAATTAAAACAGTAGGCTGTGTTTTTAGGTTTAGCCTTTATTCTTCATCTTAGTTATTATGTTCTCATGATAATCTGTGACAGTAATTAAGCTCAGATGAATTTTTGGGTGTTTCATACAATGTATAACATTGTTCTTTGATATGGAAACATACTATAGCTATATTAATTTAGGAGGTGGTTCTGTCATAAATTGTTCTTTTAATGTAACTGTTATTCTTCAATAAATGTTAGTATGATAATTTGTGACAATAATCAAGTTTAAATGTAATTTGGGTGCTTTGTACCATTTATAACATTGTCCTGTAATGAAAACAATAGTCAACTATATTAAAACTATATAACTGTTATTCAGTTCTGTAATAAATTGTTATAAATGAGGTTCTTCATCTTATAAGTGCACAATAAAGAAACAATGATCGGCTACATTTTTGTTTATTTGTTTTTTTATTGCAGAACTTTTCACCTCATTTAACATTTTAATCTATCTCTGGCAACTATCTAGTGTTATAAAGTGTTCATGTTGTTTTTCATTAGTTTTTCATAAAATAATAATGAAAATAATGAAAATAATCATGCAGTTAAGAATATTAATCTGTATAGCAAACTTGCATAGACTAGATGTATATTCTGATTTAAATATATTCGAATATTTACATTATTATAATAAACAGCAGCTATGATAGCGAAGATGTATTATTTATATGGAGACAATCATTTAATGAAAGGCAAACTGTGGGGGGCAGCAGAGGCCGTGGCGGTGACGTCACCGCGTGACGCAATGACGCAATGACGCACTAGCGTGCCTCCGTCAGCTGATCAGAGAGCCGCTGCGGAATTAAGTCGCGTTGCTGCGATATTTTCATAAAATCAACGACAGAACGAATATGAGACGATAAAGAGCGGCTCCGGTGAGTAAAACACACCGACATTTAATCTGTCACGCGGCCGGACACCGAAAGAGCCGCGCTGATGACGCACGAGCGTGCCCCCGTCAGCTGATCAGAGAGCCGCTGCGGAATTAAGTCGCGTTGCTGCGATATTTTCATAAAATCAACGACAGAACGAATATGAGACGATAAAGAGCGGCTCCGGTGAGTAAAACACACCGACATTTAATCTGTCACGCGGCCGGACACCGAAAGAGCCGCGCTGTCACGTTATAATGATGATAAACACACAGATGAACGGGACAGAGGTCAATATACACACGATACACACTGAAATCATCCACAGTCAACACACAAACATTTATATCATACACAAACACATACACATAATATACATGTATGTGATATACTTCTACATCTACACACGCACTATACACAGCAGATGCTTGAACACTGTACACATATGGCATTTTTTCAGCTTAAAAGGTTCAGACAGGTGATTTTCAGTCCAAGTAAGAGTAACGTTATTATTTCTGGTGAATGATATCAACTGCTGATGGTCAGACATGAATATGAGACAGTTTCATTATGAGCTGTTTTAAAAAGAGTAATTTGTGTAACAGGATTGCAACAGTAAACATGGTTTGTAAATCATGCATCATTGATTCACACAGGAGTGATTTTTAGGCCCAGACACCATCTTCAAATGTGTTAAACAGGGCTGATATTGTATTTTATGGTTGGCATTTAAGCATAAATTAAATGAACCAAAATATGAAATAAACAAACATCAAACAGACCGTGACTGAAGAATTTTGTGCATTAAATATCAGTTTATATTTACAAATGTTTAGAATAGATCTGGTCAAAATGAGTGATTCTGTTATGGGTTTAGTAATGCTTTATATAGCAGGATGTTGGATATACATGATAATATAGAGCAATTATAGCAATTGATGTATGCTAAATGTAATTGTTGAAACAATGCTTCTTTTACATATTTATAATCTATATATCAAGGCCTATGCATTATATTGTGTATGTTGGTATGCAGGTATAGCTGTTGTTTTGTCTTTTTTTTTTTGTTACTTTTTACTTTTTTGAGCGCACAAGGCAGCAGGCCTTGATATTAATGCCACTTATGTGTCGGTTTGTATTGAGGAAGTTGATTCTAAGATTTTAGTAATGCTTTATATAGCAGGATGTTGGATATACATAATATAGAGCAATTATAGCAATTGACGTATGCTAAATGTAATTGTTGAAACAATGCTTCTTTTACATATTTATAATCTATATATCAAGGCCTATGCATTATATTGTGTATGTTGGTATGCAGGTATAGCTGTTGTTTTGCCTTTTTTTTTTGTTACTTTTTACTTTTTTGAGCGCACAAGGCAGCAGGCCTTGATATTAATGCCACTTATGTGTCGGTTTGTATTGAGGAAGTTGATTCTAAGATCAGTTTGGCTTTGTTTCTCTGGCGCATGGTCATCGTTTATAGGTTTATAATAGATTTAGCATTGCACACTTAGCAGCAGTTTGTTTTATTTTACTAAGGATATTGCCTTTTATTAAAGGTGTTATTTGATTGTGTATGACTGGTGATTTGTTAAAAAGCACTGTCATGCCATCATGGCATGGGAATTGTAACCAAAACAGATGCTTTGTACAGATTTCAGAACAGACACACTCAGTTATATTCTCTTTATCTTTTAGCGGCTGATATTTCCACGTATTGTTGTTCTGGTAATAGGGCTGTGCGATATTGAAGAAAAATGCAATATGCGATATGCGATACGATAATGCTTAAAGTGCCACATGCTCAGATGAAACAGTAAGATATCTGCTGACTTTCAGAGAGATCAGATCCACTCTGAGTTCATTGGTTGTTTTCCGATCTGTGTCTGTCTGTACGGATGAACGCTCATTGATTGCTCTGAAAGGGCTTGGTTTGATTCGTCTGCTGTTGTGTTGTGAGTGTCTGTCAGACCGAGAGAGACGGCAGAGCTGAAGCACACAGTCTTATTGGTTCTAAATCAGCAGAAGAATCCTTGCAGGATGAAACTGGTTAATTTAGTGAACATTAAACGAGTGTTTCGCAGGCTCAGGTTTAATCTGAGGAGACATAAGCATGTCAGGTAAAGTCAGTCCGCTTTCTGCATTTCTTTCCTCAATGTGTGCGATTGAATAGTTTTGATGGATTTAAAGTCATGTGTTCTTAATAATCTGAATTATTTATAGCAATACAAATGAACAAATGAATGATCGATTGTTGAATTCTCATTAAATCCAGTAATGTTGTATCTTATCATTTATTTTATGTTGTTTATACAATTGATCTTAGATTACAATTATGGTTTAATAAATCAAGTTTCTCTTTCATAATACATTAAAACACAAGCTAGCAGCAATAGTTAATGTTAAAAGCGTGATTTGTGGTGTTTTATTGGACTAGCGCTTATAGAAGTGTTCAATAGTACTTACAGTTAGAGTCAGTGATGTCCATTTATCTGTGCGTTACGTAACAAGCTCTGTGTCGATCTCAATTCTGCTTCAGTTCTGTTCTAGAGTGATTTTAATTACCAATTCAATTTACAGTTGTGCTGCACTTATAACATCAGATGTCGAACCCTTCATCAGATTAAAGAGTTTGAACTTAAGAACTTCTGCATGTTGTTTTAAGGGATGGATATTGATTTTGATTGATTTTTTTGTCAGTTTGAGGTTAATCTGTGATGTTTGTCAATCATGGTGCACTCATTTGCTCCAGTTGGAAACGTGCTCTCTGTTCTTTCTTGTATTCTGTGCATGTATTTGTATACTGTAGTGTACCAGTTATAGTATGCTAAATGTAGGAATAGTGCAGGAATAGTATAGTATGAGTAGTATGCTAGAGTGTTACTCCAAACATCTGGAGTCAATAATCATAAATATCTGAATCTGTTATGAATGAATTGGTCACATTTTGTTTACTTGTATAGCCTATAATTTTTGAAGGTGAAGAATTACCAGTTATATAATTTTGTAAGGTTTCCTTGACTATAAAGCATATTTTATTGGAACATTCTGCTTTCAATTATATAAATACATTTTACTTAATTTAATTCATGGACATTTCTAAAAGCTTTCTCCTGGGAAAATATAAAATATCAAAAATAAAGAGTTTATATAATTGCTATATTTAAAAAAAAAAATGTTGTAAGAAAAATATTGTTACATTTGTTAAATTAAATAAATTTTGTTTGAGAAATTTTCATTTCTACTACAAAAAGTATTTACTTCTGATTAGGGATATGCCGGTATCAAATTTTCATGTTGCGATTAATTGCTAATGCTTTTATCACGGTATACGGTATTAAAAAAAATACTCATAAAATATCATGTGAGCTCATTAAATGGGAAGGAATGGGGGGAAGTCGTGGCCTAATGGTTAGAGAGTCGGACTCTTGAGCAAGGCACCGAACCCCCAACTGCTCCTCGGCTATACTGACTATAAAGCATATTTTATTGGAACATTCTGCATTTAACAGCTGCATTTAAATGAATTATTATTATTATTATTATTATTATGCTGTCAGAGAGTGAAAGTGCGCTTTCATCCAGAGCGTCTCTCACATGTTCCGCCATGTGCTTCTCGTCCACGCTTGTTTACATCAGAGTGCGCACGCGTCTTTCATGCAGCATACAGCGGTGTTGTGCATTTTGACCAGTTGATGGGAAAAGTATTCTTAAAATGCATTCAAAATTCTGAATAATCTGTAATATATAATTATTCACGGTATTTAGAAGTGCCCACGATAACAATATCGTGCATAATCATTACCGTGATATATCGCATCACCGAATACCGGCACAAGTCTACTTCTGATATGGTGTTAAAATAAATAAATAATGTTTATTTAATAAACTGATTTTTTTGAAAAATGTAATTATATATTATAAATTATACAATTATATACAGTATATAAAAATAAATATACTTTTTTTCCAGGCCTTTGTTTGTTCATCTAGGCCAGTTATTTCACTTCTTCATTTCTGTGTTTCTGGAATTTCCAACAATGCATTGATTGTGTCTGATTACTGTTTTCTTTTGTCGTCTCTCTCTTTTCAGTATCACAGAGAACATGTCAGGAAACAGTCTGGTATTACCCATAGTTCTGTGGGGCCGCAATGCGCCCACTCACTGCATCTCCAGCCTGCTGGTGATGGACGATCTGGCCACCATCATCACCGGCTGCCATGATGGACAGATCTGCATCTGGGACATGACCCCAGAGCTGGAGGTGAGAGGTCACGGCAAGGTCACACATAGCTTGTTTTTCTTTAAAGGGACAGTGCACCCAAAAAATTAACATTTTGTCATCATTTACTCCCATATGACTGACTATCTTCCATGGGCTGGAATGTTATGAAGGTTATTAATCGCTCCGGATTGTTTAATGAGTTTCTGTGTGTCTCTGTGTGTTTAGGTCAATCCTCGCGCTCTGCTGTTCGGACACACGGCTTCTGTCACCTGTCTGTCCAAGGCCAGCGCAGGAAGTGACAAACAATACCTCGTCAGCGCCTCCGAAAGCGGGTGAGAGAGAGTTTATCATGGGCTCTTTAGGCTGTGCTGATCTGTAAGATAACAGTGTGTTCAGACAGTGAAATATGTGTTTATTATTATATTAAATGTTAGCAGTTTCACCTGAGACGTCTTTTGTGTTTGTCACAGGGAAATGTGTTTATGGGACGTCAATGATGGACGCTGTATTGAGTTCACCAAACTGGCCTGTGCACACACCGGAATACAGGTAACACACACACACACACACACACTTACACACTTATTGAAATAAGTACATACTTTATGCAGTTTAATTGCAGATTTACAAGACAGAAAACATTCCAACATCATAAGACCAGCTAACAAAAGGCCAAGGACCATGTATTTAAAAAAAATTGTATATACAATGTATAATTTAATATCTAAAAATAATATATATATATAAAAAATATTTATATATTATTTATATGTAAACCACACATCTAAAATAAATGTTTTTACAATTTTAGAATTAAGAAAAATAAAACATAATTTATTTATGAATCAACACTCTCTCTGAACAAGACTGCATTAGAGTAATAGAGATTCTGCTATAAAGAACTCAAAGAGTCATATATTTAAAAATATGTATAGTTATTTAAAATATTATGATTATAAATACTAAAGACTAACGCAAATGTTCTTGCATGTTTAGATTTAAGAAAAATAAACATTGAATTTATTTATAAATAATTTTTCATAAAACTCTGTCTCTCTTGTACAGTTTTATCAGTTCACCATCGGCACACAGAGGGAGGGCCGTCTTCTGTGTCATGGGCATTACCCAGAAATCCTTGTAGTGGATGCTACCAGTCTGGAGGTCCTTTACTCACTCGTGTCCAAGATTTCGCCTGACTGGATCAGTTCCATGAGCATCATTCGCTCGCATCGCACGCAAGGTAACCGCTGCTGTTTTGGCATGTGAGAATGTGATGCATTTCAGGATTATAGGAGCTAATGTCTATTTATGACATCTGTGACGTACTGTCGATAACCACTAACAATAATTTAATCTCATTTTATAATAAGAAAGGGGAATGTGCACAGATAATGTACTCAGTGAAGTTCTAAATGTTTAAAATAATAATGCAAATACAGTTTTGGTCTTAAATATCATAAAATGTCAAATCATTGCACACTTTTAAGCTACTAGCAAATGGCCATAAAATTAAAATCTAGCAACTAAATTCCTTAAATAACAAATTAAAAAACAATTAATTAAAAATTAATTTTAAAATGTAAAAATGTTTACAATTAATTTACAATTAATTTACTTTATTAAGAAATACACAGATACAAAGAATGTGATTTTTTAAAAATTACATATTGTATATTGAATTTTTTTTAAATAATAGTGCAAATCCAAAAAAATCATTTCACACTTGAAAGCTACTAGCAAAAATTAAAATCTACCAACTAAATGAATTAAATTACAAATTTAAACATTTTGATTATGATTTTTAAATTTAAAAATGACTTATTTAGAATGCATTTATATGTAAATAAATAAATAAAGAGAATGTGATTTATTATTATTATTTGTATTTTTTCATTCATTTATTCAAAAATTCATTGCAAACTAGCAAGCTAGTATCTAATGGACAAAAAATTTAAATCTTCCAACAAAATTACTTAAATTACACATTTAAAATATATGATTTTTACATTTACAAATGACTTATTCAAAATGTATTTATATGTAAATATAGATAGAAATAAATAGATATAGATTGGTTTTATTTATTTTATATTCATTCTAGAGGTCGACCGATAGTGGATTTTGCCGATACCGATAGCTAGGTTGGACCACACTGGCCGATACCGATTAATCGGCAAAACCGATACATCGGTCGACCTCTAATTCATTCATTAAAAAATTCTTAGCACACTGAAAAGCTGCTAGTTAGTGGCCACAAAATTAAAATCTACCAGCAAAGTTACTTAAATTACCATACAAGTATCATAGTTTTGGAGTCCATAGAGATTAAGTTGAGAATAAACAGCAATAATCCTTTAACTACAGCCCATAATGACTCTCAATCTGGAGGTTTCTCACCATTTAAAGTGTGTGTGTTTCAGAGGACACAGTGGTGGCTGTGTCTGTCACTGGGATTCTTAAGGTGTGGATCATCACCGCTGACGTCAGCAGGATGCAGGTGAACAGTTCAACTCAACCGTACATGTCAATAAACACATGTTCTAGACAGAAACCCCGTGTAGATGGACAGAATGTGTGTGAATTCATTTGGAGAATGAAAGTGTGTGTGTTTCCCGCAGGATCTGGACCCTGTTTTTGAGGAAGAGTCGAAGCCCATCTACTGTCAGGGCTGCCAGAGCATCTCGTTCTGCACGTTCACACAGCTCTCGCTGCTGGTGGTGTGTTCAAAGTACTGGAGGGTGAGTGTGTGCGATTATGAGTTTGTGATGATGTGCTTCACATTATGGTTTGAGTTATACTGATCTGTGCTGCAGGTGTTTGATGCAGGTGATTTCTCCCTGCTGTGTTCGGTCCTGAGCGAGAACAATCAGTCGTGGGTCGGAGGAGAATTCATCGCTGCTGATAAAGTCATAATCTGGACCGAAGATGGTTGCAGCTACATTTACAAACTACCGGCCAGGTAATGCAACAACACATGCTACAGTACTAAAGCTGCACTATTAATCGAAATAAATAAAAAATCCTGATATGGCTTAGCGCAATGTGAGTGTTTCTTAGTGAATCACAGCGCTGTGTTTGTTTGCATGCATGCATGCATGCATGCAGCTCATGATCCAGTTTTTTTCAGTGTAATTTCACAGTAAATGCTGCTCCGCACAAAATTGTTTGGGTCGCTTATAACGTGCATTTACAAAATGCAACATGTACAGAATGCAACATGGCTAACCATCTTCCCAAACTTTTTTAAAAACACTTACAATTTTTAAATACATTTTAAATAACATTTATCATCAGACAAATTTGCAATTACATTTTTTTTACTTGCATTGTGCAGCGCACACAAACAAACACACTATCAAACTATCAAGAAATATCCACATACCTAATATATACCTAATAACAGCAGACTAATAATAAAGAGCTTGTGATTTTTATTAATGTATTATTTATTTTATATGTAAATAATCTTTTAAATGTAACAATATATAAAGAAAATGTGCTCTTATTGTATATGACTTTTAGATATAAATATAACTTGGTAAAGAGAATGTGTTTTTTATTCATTTGTTTTAAATGTAAATTAGGGCTGTGCAATTAATCGAAAAACAGTTTAGATTTCGATTTCGGCCTCCAACGGTTATGAAAATACAATAATCAAGATAAAACGATTATTACACCACATTACGCCCCCTTTCCAGCGGTGCGCTTTCGTTCCTCCATAAAAGCCCAATTTCACGTGCTAATCAGTAAAATCTTGTAACGTGACTTTTGCAAAATGGGACGTGCTTGATTTATGGAAGTATATTAGATTTATTCATGTTTTTAAAAGCGTGAAAGAGAACTTGTGCTGTTCCTCAGGAAGATTTCTGTGTATGCGCTCAGAATCTGAACAGAACACAGACATGTGAAGTCAACTTTTAGCTCAAGGTGCGTGCCTAAATGGTCAAATACACGCAAAAATGTGTTAAAATGCGGCACTTAGTGATTATTCACGTAAACCCTCGTCGGTCATGTAATAAATGAACGTAAAGAGTTGAGAATGAAAATACACGTGTAAGGGTAAATTGGATCCGTGCAGCTCTTAAAGTGACAGCAGCCTAATATTCCTGCAGCTGTCTGTATCTATAATGTTAATCAAACAATAAAATAAAAAGAGAAAATCACTCACTGATCTTGACTAACTAATATTAGTAGCTTAAATAAGAATCAGTTTATTTAAAGGGGACATAACACACACAGCTTCTGCCAATCTCAAGTTAATCTTTAGTACCTATAGAGTAGTATTGCATCCTTCATATCTCCAAAGAGACTTTACTTTTACCAGATTTATAAAAGAAAGAAAGTTTAATTCTTACAGTGAAGACTATGCTGTTTTATCTTACATTTGATTATTCATTTCTGTAGGCTGTTAACTGCTTGAGACTTGCATAAAAAAACCTTAAAGCACAGTTTGTTTAATTTGTTTGGACATAACGATTAACCGCGAGCCGGTTGAAAATCGATTCAAATATGTGACGATTCAAATCGGTTGAGATGCTAAACAAAAGTGAATCTGCGTCTCATTCAGCTCTTCTGCTGTTTCTGTTTCATGCAGATATTTTTTATGTATAGTTTCACAAAACTGAAGTCAAACCATTCTGTTTTTGCTTCAAATTTTGAAATTATACAATCGAATTTAGATTAAAAACTGTTCATGTTGAATGCATGCAGCATCTTTGTTTGGATCACGATTAAAATGCAGTGGTTGCCGCTAATTTTAAAAGGAAAGAGCACAGACAAAGCCTTATTTTGTTTATATGAACATATTTATTTTATTTGTGTTATTTATTTTATTTGGGCCCGCATTTTGTCCAAGCAAGAATAAAAGGACACATTTAGTTTATAATTTGTCTTAAATCTCATTTTGTAAAAAAAAATCGTGAATCGTGAGTTGAGTGAATCGTTACATACCTATTCATTTGTATCTTTTTATTCTATTGTATTTGTCCTTTGCTTTTTTTATTACTGACAGTTTAATTATTTTCAATAATTTGAGGACTTTTTGTTTGTTTGTTACTAATATTACTCTGCTGTGGTATTGAGAATTGTGAAATTTCGCATAGCAACCTTATTTACAGAAAATATATATTTGATATGTATCACTATCTTTAAATAAATCACGTTTATTCTATTGTATTTGTCCTTTGCTTTTTTTATTACTGACAGTTTAATTATTTTCAATAATTTTGAGGACTTTTTGTTTTTGTTTGTTAGTTACTAATAGTTACCTAAAACTCTGCTGTGGTATTGAGAATTGTGAAATTTCGCTGGTCTCTACAATGTAGATGTCATAGCAACCTTATTTACAGGAAATATATATTAGATAACTATCACTATCTTTAAATAAATCAGTCATATAAAGTTTTAGTCATATGGCCCACTCATAATCGTGTTAAATAATCATGATTACAATACTGACCGAAATAATCGGGATTATGATTTTTGCCATAATCGAGCAGACCTAATGTAAATTTGATATAAATTAAAAATATGGATTTAGAAGATGTGAATTATTTTTTTTCCCTGATCTATTTAATACATTTTCTATATACATATAACTATTAAAAAAAGTGAATAAAATTTCACACACCAACAAAGCACCTACACATTACCAACCGCTTACAAATTGCCAACAAATCATAACAAACTCACAGAAAAACATTTATCCAGCTAATGACCACACACATTAAAAAACTGTCAGGTCAGGTCTACAGCTACAAACTGTGAAACTACTACTGCTGATCAGTCTGTGTGTGTTTCAGCTGTCTCCCAGCGAGCGAACACTTCCGCAGCAATATGGGGAAGAAGACGGAGGGTTCGATCCCTCCTCTGGTGTACAGCATAGCGGACCGCGCCGACAAACAGGTCAGAGACATGCACACATGAGGAAACAACTATACACTCACTTGTACTTTACAAACATGTCTGTTTATTCTTGGCCTTCAGATTCAGTCAAATTTAGAAAGTGGACATTACAGGTGTCTTGAGAGGATCAAAAGTACAAGTTATTACGTTGTAATGAAAGTTTACGAAGACAAATCTTTTCATTTAATAACATCACTGATGAATCAGGTACATGATTTAGGAACGTCAGTTTTGATTTCATGTGACTTTAAAGATTAGTTGATCTCAGCCAATCGTAGAGCATTAAATGTCCTGTGTGTTTAAGTTCAGTTTCTTTATAAAAACACGGCTGTTCAAAAGTTTGCGGTTGGTGAGATTTTTAATGTTTTTGAAAGAAGTCTCTTCTGCTCACCAAGGCTGCATTTATTTGATAAAAAATACAGTAAAAACAGTAAAATAGTGAAATATTATTAAAATTTAAAATAACTGTTTTCTATGTGAATATATAGTAAATTGTAATTTATTCCGGTGATCAAAGCTGTATTTTCTAGGGATGCACCGAATTTTTGGCCGCCGAAAATGGCATTTTTGGTTTTCGGCCGAAAGAGAAAAACGGCCCAAAGTACGAGTCGAAAATATAGACTACATATAATAATATATATGTAGCTCAAATAATGTGCTGACAGGAAATTTCTGTGCAGTATACTTGTTCCTGTTTGCAGTAGCGCTACTGTGCTGTAACATCCTGTAGCACAGCTGTACTGGACAATGCTGGTAAAATGATGCTACCTTCAGTGACGCTATGCTCTGCTCACATGCTCTGATAATAAGTGACCCTGGAGCACAAAAGCAGTCTTAAGTCGCTGTGGTATATTTATAGCAATAGCCAACAATACATTGTATGGGTCAAAATTATAGATTTTGAGATTTCTTGAGGTTTTGTGGTCCAGGGTCACATAATAGCTTTGTAGGACTATACGTTATTTGGATAATTAGTCCAAAAAAACAACAACTTATATCTGATTCTGTTACGTAGAAGAGAATAAAAAGAATATATTGATATTTAATATTAAGGTAACACTTTACAATAAGGTTCCATTAGTTAATGTTAGTTAATGTATTAACTAACATGAACGGACATTGAACAGTACATTTATTACAGTACTTATTAATCTTTCTTTATGTTAGTTAATGAGAATACAGCTGTTCACTGTTAGTTTATGTTAATTCAGAGTGCATTAACTGTTAACATGCAGAACTGTTGATTTTAATAATGCATTAGTAAATGTTGAAATTAACATTAAATAAGATTAATAAATGCTGAAGAACTATTGTTCATTCTTAGTTCATGTTAACTAAAGTAGTTAACTAATGTGAAGTAATGAACCTTATTGTAAAGTGTTACCAATATTAATATAAATTCTGTCCAGTTTTATTGTGTTACTTTCAGTAAAAGTGTGGTTATTTTATTGGCTTGTGTTTTTTAAATTCAGTATCATTAAAATTGAGTTAAATTTAAAAAGTCTTACAAAATTACTTTATATTATTTAATGAAATAATAAATAATCATTACAAAGAAGTTTCTGTTTTGGCTCAGAATTTTCACTTCGGTGCATCCCTAGTATTTTCAGCATCATTACTCCAGTCTTCAGTGTCACATGATCCTTCAGAAATCATTCTAATATGCTGATTTGCTGCTCAAGTTAAAGTTTCTACATTATATTTACTAGTAGCTTATCAGTGGGGACTACTGTATGTCAAGTTGATGTCCATATGGCAGAAATGTACAATAAAGTTAATGCAGTTAGTTAATGACATGTAATCAAACAGACGGTGAACACTGTTAACTGCAGTGATCATTATATGTTGCGATTAAACTTATAGCAAAATTTGGTAGTTTCATATGTTAAATAAAATTCAATTAAATGTTAAATGAAACCCCCAAACTTTAGAACGGTGGTTTATGTTTTTAGTTTGTGTTCTGTCTAGGGCTGGGCGATATATATAAAAAAAAGATATCTCGATATTGTCAAAATTATTACGATATTCGATATATATCTCGATATGTTTGCATTTGTTTTAAATAATAAAAAAAACGTGATTTTCTTTTGCCCCCATTAAAAAAAACAGCAACAAACAATTTAGATAGAACAGCTATTGTTACAAAGTAAATACAAAATGTTTAGTGCAAATTTAAGCAGTTAAAAAAAATCTAGACCAAGTGATCACTTACTGCTTTTTATTAAATGAACACATGTATATGTAACTGAAGTAGTGCAAAACAAGTACAGAAAGTGCATTCTGTCAGCTTTTTTTAGTGCATGCAATTCACAATTTACACTGTGCAGCTGGGGGGAAATAATTAAACTTTTTTTTAAAGTTAAAGTTTTTTTTTTTTTTTTTTCACTAAAAACCCTCTCAGATGGGAAGCTAGTTGCTGGAACACATAGGTATATATAGGCTATATATATAAGTTAATACCAAAGACTTATGCACTCTCTCTGTCTATATTATGAAAACTGGTAAAACAAATGAAAGATATTATAACAGTGAAATTTCTAATAGTAATTCCAAACTGCCATAACCTATGTTTCTCTATTCAAAACAACAGCGGTTGAGTAAGTGCATTTATTCAGCGATCACAATCGCAATCAATACAGTCGAGATCTCATGACAGAACACAGACTGGTTGAGTGACACTTTCATTTAGATAAACGCTAAACTCCAGCTTGTTTGTTGGAGTTTTCAGGTCATCGTCGGCGGCGCTTCTGCAGTGAGGAGCGAGCGTTTGCGCATGGTTGCCAGATTGCTTAAAATAAGCAAAACACCGGGCAGAAAATGTATCCTTGTAAAAGCAAAGCTCTGATTCTGGGATTTGAACTCTTGATATCTGGCAACCGCACTCATGAAAGCTCGTGTAGTAGAGGCGTGTAGAGCAGTCCGCAATAACCGTCTCCTTTTTTGGACGTTCGGCGCGTTCTTTTAGGAAAGTATGCTTGAATTTGAAATATTCGATATTCACGATATTTTCAAATTTTACATCGTCGTCAAAATTGTTGCGATATTATCGCTAATATTCGATATATATCGCTCAGCCCTAGTTCTGTCTGTGTTTTGTTCTCGTCAGTCTGCTCCTGTGTATGTTTGTGTGTTATCTGTGCCGTGTTTGATTTCTGTATGATTTGCTCTCTGTCTGTTGTTGCCCCGGCCCAGCTGGAGGAGGGGTGGGAGGGGCAGTGTGTTGTGGTGCGTCTTCCTGACAGCGCTTGTGATCCGGAGCTCTACACTCCTGAATTGCAATACATCCAGCGGCCTCTAGAGGCACCAGTAAGCCCAACTGACAGCGAGACGCAGGGGCGAGGAAGCTCTCCACGCATAATAATATCACACAATATGCAAGATTTCATTTTGGCATTATCTGTTTTATTTTGACATTTGTAAAAATGTTATGTAATTGCACGTATTTTGCATGTGTGAATATGATTGGATGTCTTGAGAGCTTCCTGTGCAGTTCCTGCCTCTCTTTTGCTGTCTGTCTAATAGTCACTCACTCTGATTTGCTAAGTCTCATGCACCTCCCACTAAAAACGACCAATCATTGACCTTCCTCATTGGTCTTCACTCAGTGAAGATGCATGCAAAGTCCCAGAGCTTCTTTACAGTCGCTTGTTTTATTCTGATGCATTCAGTTCATAAAAGGTGTTGATTTGGTCTTGATGGAAGCCCGTTTCCACCACTGAATAAAAAATAAAAAAGGGTAATTATGACTTTTCTCACAATTGTGAGTTTACATTGCACAGGAATTTTTTCTCAGAACAGCATGAAATAAAATAACAATTCTGTCTTTTCTTGCAGTTGTGAGGTTATATTTTGTAATTCTGACTCCTTTTTTCAGAATTGTGAGATATAAATTCGCAATTGCAAAAAATAAAGTCAGAATTTTAAGAAATAAACTCTCAATTAAGACCTTTATTTCTCGCAATTGCGAGTTCTTATCTTGCAGTTCTACATTTTTTTCTCACAATTCTGACCTTTTTGTAAAGAATTGCGAGTTTACATCTCAATTCTGACTTTATAACTCGCAATTGCTTGTTAGAAAGTAAGAACTAGTAAACTCGCAATTGTGAGAAAAAAGGTCAGAATTGCGAGTCTTGACTTTTTAATCTCACAATTCTGAGAAAATTGCGAAAATTTATCGCAATTACGAGAAAAAAAGCAGTTCATATCATGCAATTCTGACTCTATTTCTCAGAATTGTAACTTTATATTACTCAATTCTAACTTTATAACTCGCATTTCTGAGATAAAAGTCAGAACTGTTAGATGGAAACTCCCAATTGTGAGAAAAAAGTCACAATCACCTTTTTATTTTTTATTCAATGGCAGAAAAGGGCTTCCATAGGTCTTTTTAAATTCTAAAATGTAATATTATTAGAGTTATATGAAGTGTGTCGCTCTCTGGTTGTCTTCAGCTGATCTTTCTGTGTGTTTTTTGGGTGTGTATTCAGCATGTTTTAGCGTGTGGGTTTGGACGTGTGTGTCGTGAGCGTGTGTTTATCAAGAAAAGCTCAATGGTGGAACTTTGCACTGTTCTCAATACAGGATTTAGCTTTGAAAATTCAGAGGACATACATCAATATTATATGATGCATCGATCAATTTAAAATGGTCATTTCCACTTCAATTCATGCCACTTCAGACACATGACATGGTAAAACACTAAGAGGAATTTTACATTGAAACATCTTGGATGAATGAATGTAAAATCTCTTAAAAATTGCAGTTTTTCACACCAGAATAATAAGCACAGAACCTAATTGTGAATTTTTCATCAGTCTTTTTTATATTATTATTGCTTTTAGCATACTTTTTGTGACCATGCATATATCACAGTGTATAAGTGATAATGTATGTTTAGCTTAATGATTTAGAGTATTTCAACAGCAGTACTGATTTTCCTGTGTTTTAAAAATGAGTTGCTTATAAAACAACGGGAAACAAAGCAATCAATTTTATTTATATAATGTAAAATTGTAGGTTGGGGATGGAATGTTTTTATCCACAGGGATTTTATTTGATGGATCATTTCACACTTTTAAGTAATTTATATGAAGGATTATTAAAACAAACATTTTTTTCAATCTTTTAGATGTCATAAACCCCCAAATATGATCATCCGAGGGACCTAAAATTTATAAGGCAACTGTATATTTTCATGTATAAAGATCAGTTTATACTGTGAAATGAAT